TGTGTTGAATGTCCAGTGGGCAGTATGGAGTACTCATGTGAAGACTGGGATGAAGTATCTTTGGGGTGTAACCTCTGGCTTCTATGGATTTTCAAGGAAGGAACGGCTGCACAGGGTGAACAACTGACAGTCATATTCTTGTTCGTGCCCTCTTCAATCGAGGACGAATCCTGTCAGAACACAACAGAGGCTCCAAAATTATAAGCTTGATTAAATTGCTTATCACCATATACCCTTTGATAGTCATGCTGACAAGTGCAGAAGAGCCCATGTACCACATTTAAGAACATTAATTTGCATACTTACCTGAGAAGTTTCTTCCCCAATTGGAACAATGGCATACTCATGAGATGACTGTGACAAAGTGTCCTTCGGCTGTGTCCTGTGACTTATCTGAATTTTCAGTGATGGTACAGGAGGCAAGGCTGCTCTCAAATTTTGCTCATTTGACTTATGAACTTGCTTGGGTAGCCTGCTGTTGGTGGGTTTATGATATTGATCACTGTTGTCAGACTGTAATGGCTACACGTGAAAAAATATATAAAAATGCGAGCAAGTTTTAAGTGTGGATGTGGAAATTAGCACAACACAAGTTAAATTTCTCACCTCAGCTAAAAGCTCTGAAGCAGAAGCACATTGTTTCAGGATCGATTTCCCAAACGTCAAAGTCTTTCCAGGTTTCTTTGGAGACAGGTGTTGGAGAATACCTCCACTCAATTTCTTCTCAAAAGGGCTTTTCCACTTCTTGGACGCAGGACTCAATTTGGTGGGAGTTGGTATCCTTGACCGCTTAACCACCTTCAATACCTGTAATAGAAATAAGATTGGGTTAGAATAGATAAATGAGGGGGGAGAACAGGTGCACTACAAGTGACAATAAAAATAAAAATAGGACACTTACCATATTGCTTTCAAGCTGATAGAAAATCAAATAAGAACCAATTAGGGTTGCGTATGCCTGAGCACTATTTGAGTGAGGTTTCACCTGTAACAGACAGCAGTAATGAGTGAAATGTTTTTTTTTCTTCTCTCCACAGCACTGTAGAATAAGATTTTTTTAAAAAATATGAAAAGATTTTTACCTCACAATCATTTAACTCCACACATGAGTCATCGGGGCAGACTGCTGTACAAGTATAGTGCCCTGCGGTTTTGACTGGACCATGATGGATGACACTGCTTCTGAATGAATAGGTTGCTGTTCCCACAGATATCTTGCGGTTCATGACCAGGGGAGTTCCATCCTTTGAATCGTTCTCACTGTTGACAAATCTGAAGGAAGAAATAAAAAAGATAGGGCATGAGATAAGTAAAACATACAAACACCATTTTATCAAAATAATGGGGGCAGCAGTTTGGTTTCAGAATTTTTTAGTAGCTCACCACCCTCATGGGTTCTAAATGTCAATAGCTTTCGGAGTTGTAATGGTTTCCGAAGAAACAAGGTCGTTCCCCCAAACTTTCCTAACTCCTGCCTACAAAAATTCCAACTTTTGACGCTTAGCAAATTATTATTACTATTATAGACAATAATAAAGATAATAACAGCAATGTATGAATAAAGATAGCGTAGGCCACATGTCTGTAAGCAAAGGTTTTGCAAACAGTCTATGCTTTCTTCACAAGTAACAAAAAAAAAAAACCTTTTGCCATGAGCTGAAGGCTTGAAACTAGGAGGAATTTAAAATTCTGGACTTAAACCTACATAAGTCAAGAAACCGAGGGGAGTTGGCAGCAGCAACTGAGGGTTTACGATCATTTTTTAATACAATTCATTCATAAACTTCTTACCTATCTACAGTCACAACCAAAGTTTTTGGGTACGTGTGAAACTGTAAGGATTTCGAACAAGTTTGCTTCACATGACAGGCAGGACATGCATACCCCTGTACAGTTTCAGTATTGGACATAACAGCATCTATGCCCTTTTGGACAGTCTTGCCAGAAGTGGGAATAAGAAGGTGGCGGTGACTGCTGTAAGTGGTGTGCGAAGCCCCACATCCAAGGCAGACACCTGTAGATAAATAAACATTTTGTAAATCAAACGATTTCCTTCAAAAATAGTTTCAATGCAAAGTGCCATGTAGCTGCAATTAAAATGAAACTGACTTGTTGTTTCCAGCCAAAATCCAAACAGGGAATCAATGCCAGTCGTGAGTTTAGCGCAATAGGAGAGTGACTGCCTGCAACCAAACATAAAAAGTGTTAATACTTACACAAGTGACACTGTTGGTACAGAGGGCACTTTGATACATCATACATACTTTTCAGAATGACGCACAACCTCCTCATGCACAATCCTGTCAAAGACGCTAATCAAGAACTCCTGAGCATCCTCCTGCTTATTGAGCTTCAACTTCTTGTTTATCACTGAGAGAAATAGGAGGTTTAAAATAGACTTACATGTTTCATAGAAAGATACGGCAGGGTTTACCTTGAGGCAAGGAATGTACCTGGGAGTTTGTCAGCCAAACTCTGGTGAGAAAGAATGGATGTTGTTGCCTTCATCTCAGAGAATGTTGTATTGAAGGCGCACACAACACAATCACATGAAGATTTGCCGCCTCTTCTATGCTGGCCAGACAGAGTGCGAACAAGATGAATGAAGGGCGGAAGGTGAAGAAGGGCCTAAACAAATAGATAATAAATTTATGTTAGACTGTGATACGATGCCAAGTCAAGCTCGGTACATTTCCATGACAACACATACCTGAACAGTCGCATTCATGTAACAGGACTCTCCGAAATTGAAGAGGCCACAGTGAACGTGGTCCACATCACTCCATGTTACTTGCAGACTATCTCCACAGATCACAACAGACATATCAGGAGGGTCCGTGTTTTTCCAAGGGTCCACCTGCACCACAACAAAGATCACCAACATCACTACAAACCTTTGTCCGAACTATGATACATTGAAGGACATTGAGAGGTCGAACAGAAATTAATTTTAGTACTTTAGAATATTTACCTTTGACATGGTGGCAGACATTGTTGGACTTCCTAAGGGAAAACGTCTGGAAAAAGAAAGTGCGTACGAGTGCCTGAATACATAACCTACAAGGTTAGGTCGAAGTCGTATTTCAGCTTTAAACAATGCTCTTGCATTTCCGACGCAGAAAATCTTCGCCGAAAACACTATTTTAACACCACGAAAGAACAAGAGGAACTGTCAACCACTAATGATTATCAGCAGTAAATAAATAGTCAACCTGCAACAAACACAGCCTGAAAACCGAAGCCGGCCTACTCCGCAAACGCGATTTCTCATACTGGTCCTCCGCTTCCCCCACCACCGCCGCCCCGGGTCGTCCGATGCTCTTTTGTTTCTCCCGATTTCTACGTCACATCCGGTTCGGGATTTCTCCGAAGTACCCTATTGGCTGAGCGATAGCGAAGCCTGTTACTCCAGTGGGGTTGAAAAGTTTTTCATGTCTGTCTGTGTGTGTGTCTGTGTGTCCGCACTACTCCTCCTAAACGGCTCGGCCGATTCTGCTGAGATTTTGCAGGGTCAATGGGCATATCCTTGGCTCGCCACACACCAAAATTCAGCTTTCTATCTCAATCCATTCGGTCATATTAGTCAAAAAACACTTTAAAAACGGCAGGAAAAAGACAACTTTTTTGGAACTTTCAACTTTTTGTCAAATTCAATGTCGTTATGATTGTTTTTGAGGCTGCTAATGACGAAAATAGAACCCATTCAGACCTCTGACCGAAAGTTTAGCCCCATTAGTGAAGATTTTGATGACCAAATGCTCTTTTTGAGGGGATCACGCCCATTTCCACGGTCTGCCAAGGAAGGCAGGTTAGCGCCGCAGGCCAAGGTAGGTGTATTCGCCAGGCGTGGATTGTCGCAACTGGCGCAGCATCGCGAAGCCTGTTACGACAAGACACAGTCTGGCGTACACCTACCTTGTATATTATATACTGTTTAAATTTGAACCTTTTTAAAATTATGAACAACTTTGGTCATTAAGTTAAAAAAAATTTTCAGCATTTGAGAGACTTTGTCTTACTTCATTGAAAGAACTCAACCAGAAAGTCCATACGGTGATGGTAAACCAGTCGAAACTCAATCTTCATTTATTACCTGGAGAGAGAGTTACATCAATGCCTTGTGATATGCCAACAATACCTGTAAAATCTGAGGCAGAACTGGAAGCTTTAGAAAAGTACTTAAAGGAGTCCTCGGAGAATGTCACAACTTTGGTGAGTTACATTTTATTCTTATGAAAATACTCTCTATTGCTTGAGTCTCTTTGTGATGAACATTCTTTTTGCAGTCTATTTTACTCAGCACCTACGTCAGTAAATCTGAGGCTGACGAGTGCAAGTCAGTCATGCGTTTACTGCCTGAGGTCATGCTGAATAATGTTGCGAAGCTTTTCAGTCTAACAGGCCGAAAAGGGAAGAAACGTTTTTCTGCCTTAAAAGTGTGGACAGCAGTGAAAGGTGAGTTTAATCTGTGTTGACTTGTGTACTTGTGTTTTGCCTTTGGTCATTATTATTTTTGTTGTTATTATTGTCTATATTTGTGTGTGTGTTTGTGCCAGGTGCTGTGCTCTACAAAATTGAAGGATCTGACCTGAAGCCAACAGAAAAGGCCACTCAGTTATGGCTTCGAGATGCGGCCTACCGGATGCAAGGGGATGGGTCTTCAAGCAGGCGCAAGGTACCGCAAGTCAAGAAGAAAGTCAAGAAACATAAAGATAAGAAAGCCAAGTGATTCAGCGAATTAAGTTTTTTTTGTGTCCTGTTAATTATTTTTGTATTAAAAGAGGAAATTGTTATTTTGTTTTAAGAATAAGATTATGTTTTTTTTTACTTGAAAAGAATAATCTTTCTGTGAGTTCTTGCTATGTTTTTAGGGGTTCCGACGAAGGAGGACCCCTATTGCCCGGGACGGCTCAGATTCTTATTTTTTTTCCGGTATCCTGTGATTGGAAAATGGATCCCGCCAAATTACTCGTTATCATAATCAAATAAAAATTCCTGAAAATTTCAAAAATTTATCGTGAGAATTTAACGTGAACGACTAAAACATAAATTTGCAACAATCAAGCACCCTTATCCGTTCACATTTTCCAGAAACGTTTCAAAGAGAAAATGTGCCACTCCTCAAAACTAAACCTCCTGCCTCATCAAAGTGACAAGAAATCGTCTGTGTTCTGAGAAAATGGTTAAAACATGAAAAAATAGTCTCCATGGCAACGACACGGTGCCATCGTACCAACTGTCAAAATTTAAAGTCGCTGATAAAAAGAAATAAAAACGCCGTGAAATTCGAAAATGCCAATGCTAACGCATCGCACGGTGTCCCGACATTGGAACATCTTTGAAGTCTGTCAGTAAAAAGTTCGTAGCAGAAAAGACGCAATAAATTAATTTTCGGGGGTTGGCAACAATTTTCTCGGCGTCTGCGCCCTTTCGAAAATCGCGAGGCTGAAAACACGAGTAGTCGCGCATTGAAACTGCCCCTACATTGTTGCTGAGGTTGGATTGTTTGGCTTGCTTTTAAAGGCTGCGGTTCTCCTGTGATGTTTTCCTCAATTCTGTAACCAGCACGACGGTTGGTTTGACAAACTTTACAAACTCGGGAGGGGTGGTTTCGGAACGCGGATGACTTTCGTTTGACGAACATGAGCACTGTAAATCGCGAGATCGCGAGATGGACTGAGATGGTCATTGTGTTAACTGAATCAGGTTTGGGGATGTAAAAATACCGGTAGGATTCAAAGTTACGTAAATAACGGTTAAATTAAGGGGGCACACCAGTGAAAATGCAGAGGTTTCGAAAAACGACCATTCTGAGGAAAGTACCGTCAACGGGGGTAACTTGGGACACTTTTTCACGTTTTTTGAACGCCAGAGGCAAGATTCTCAACCCAGACCAATGGATCCCAACTATGTTAAAGTTTGGCCCTTTCCCCATGATTTCATGCTTGTCTGGTTCATTTGCCTCGATTATATCGTTTCCCAGCGGTCTCGAAAGAGTGTCCCAAGTTACCCCATGACCGGGGGTAACTTGGGACAGTAGGTAATTAGCTACATTCCCATGCATCTATTGATGTTAATGGATGTAATAAATTTAAGTCACATCATGTAGACCAATTATTCAGGCCTAGGAACTATTGTAGGGCCGATATTGGACTATATCTAGGGCTCTACGTGGAACTCTCTTTTCGACTGGTATTACCCAAGCATTTTCTGAAAATTTCAAAATATGGATTACCAGAAGACAAAACTGCAGAGCAAGGCATCTCTTTCCATCATCAGCGTAAAATCCGAAGTTCAAGTTATGTCAGGGACCAGGTCAGTCAACTCCTAGAAGGCTAAGACTGCTAGAAACATGAGGAAAAGACTGTCCCAAGTTACCCCGTAAAATTTCGATTTTTGATAAATTGAAGTCTGGACCGAAGATGGGAAAACTGTAATCAACGCCCTTTTGCGAACGTTATTGTCTGTGTATGATCTAACAACCCAGAGAGACTAATCGGCCAAATCTGCATTTCACTCCTTGCACTAGGGTCAACTTGTCAATGATTGACATAGTTTGTCAAAAACCCTATTATGTAGTTTCCTGTTTCTCAAATACTAACGGTGATGTTATGCACCTCTTCCACCTTTCCGCGCGTGCCCTGAGGCCTCTGAAATAAAACCCTGCCGCGGGTTTGACGCTAGGATCCCCCGTCGCTGAATGGCAGCACCAACAAGCTGTTCAGGGCAGACTGTCCCAAGTTACCCCTGGTGTCCCAAGTTACCCCCGTTGACGGTAACCTATGTATTCGATTGATATTTTATTCTTGGCTCAAGATTATGTCAAAGAAAAGGAAAATCAGTATGGGAGGGCGAGGTGGCGATGGCAAGACGGAGCGCCAGTGTACTTCATTTTTCTGCGACCTTGCTTCACTCCTGCCACGATTCCGCCCCTCTGGATTGAGCCTCGAGCACGGGATTTGAAAATTTCTCAACAAGACACATGTGGCTATGGTCTGAACCACGGGCATGCAAAAAGAATGATTTTGAATTTGTTTTTTCAGGAGGCAAAAATAGAAACAAATTTTTAATGCAATTTTTTCGCGCTTTCATGGCTGCAGCTCACCTCTTATTTATGGGATGGCCTTTTCCGAGCTTCAGACCATAGACGCAAGTTTCACGAACATTTTGCCGCAAACCGCATTCAATTATCTTTATTTTTGCGCCCGGTAGAGTGGCACAAAGGTACAAAAATGGTGTTTTGAGAAAAAGCCCTTTTGGTGAAAACGTGGATTTGACGTGTTTTTTCGGATTATAAATGCGTCTTATGACGTATTTTAGTTCAATTTGCGCCAAAATGTTTTTCTTTTCAACTGCTTTTGGGTGGTTCAAGGGTTTTGTAGTTGAAGTTCAAGTAAAAAACCTAAACGTTAACAATTGGTCTAAAATATGCAACAATAATTACCTTTTTGGCCCGCCCATCTATTCAAAAAATAGGGGGAGGGCCTATGCATTTGCCTTTGTGTCTGTGTGTTGTTGTTGTTGTTGTTGTTGTTGTTGGCGTCTGTGTACAAGGAAGGAGTTGAGCTAGAGTAACCAGATTTGGAGGGTACTTCAGGAGTACCGTCCAAACAAATAATCCGGTGGTGCAAATCCCGTCCGGGTCGCACAAGGGCTGCTGCAGGTGCATCATGGTTTACATGAGCGGGAGGGGGATCCCAGTCCAAAAAAATACGATTTCAAGAAATCCTAGGAGTCACGAAGTCAATTTGATTATTGTGTAAGAGTGTGGAGAAAGAAAAGAAGTGGTGTTGTGAAGTTGTGGCTCAGGGGACTACCAATGGCAGTGGTACCAATGTGGTCGATGTGCCATCCGTCGAAATTTAAACTTGACAATAAATAGAAATCAAAATGCTGGAAAATTCAAAAAATTCCAATGCTAATGTATTCCGCAGTGTTCTGACAATGGAACATCTTTGAAGTCCATCATGATTAAAATGTTCTTAGCAGAAAGAAGTCAGTAAATTAATTTTCTCGGGTTGGCAACTATTTTCTCGGCGTCTGCGCCCTTGCGAAAATCGCGAAGCTGAAAGCGCCGGCAGTCGCGCATTAAAACTGCCCCTCCATTGTTGTGGACGTTGAATTGTTTGGCTTGTTTCAAAAGGCTATGGTTCTCTAGTCATGTTTTCTTCAATTCTGTGTAATAGTTCTCCCTTACAACGTATCAACACCACGACGGTTGGTTTGACAAACTTCATAAACTCGGGA